CATTACACATACATATCATACATACATCTAATGGTCATGTAGTGTGGACAATATCCACTGGAGCAAATTCAGGTGAATTGTCTTGCCCAAGGACACAACGGCTTTACAGACGCAGTGGCAGCAGGGTTTCGCCCACTTGATCTGATGATTACATTACATGTCACTTGTTAGACGCTTTTATCCAAAGCGACTTACATACTCAGTACTGTGGGCAATCCCCACAGGAGCAATTTGGGGTGAAGTGTCTCAGGGACACAGCGGACTGCAGCTGACTGCAGTGGGGTTTGAACCTGTTGAACCCCCTGATCCGAACACCAACGCTCAACCCACTGCACCACACCGCCCATCTTCACACCTCGACACATTAATATCATACATGTACTGTGGACAGTACCCACAGGAGCAAATTCGGGTGAAGTGTCTTGCCCAAGGACACAACGGCCTGACGCAGTTTCAAACTGGAGTTCCCCAACGCCCCCTTGATCTGATGATCAAACGCACAGCCCACTGCGCCACTCTGCCCCACAATGTTCCCACTAAAGTAAACAATGTTGTTTCCTTGTGTTTTTCTAGAGGATGTCCACAGTGGTGATGCAGAGCCTGGCGTATGTGCAGCACTCCTCCTCTGTCCCCGGAGCTAAGCTGTTAATCAGCGGGGACCTGAAGCTGCAGCAGAGGACCCCCCTGCCTCACCGGGGGGTCTACAACGTTTACAATGTGAGAGCGCACTGACTCACTGTCTCTCTCCCTCTGTCCACTGTTTGTCTTTCTGTTTTACTGCACAAATCAATACTCAAGTAGAGCAGATAGTGATTGACATGCTGAAATATTTAATCACACTGAGACTTCACAGGTCCCATGTTTCAGAATATCCTCTCCATGTGGGAGTTCCTCTGTTTCCACTGTACCTTGATAAAACAAATACAAATAAAAACGCCACGTTTTAATTTAGGCCATGTAACTAATTCAGCAGCACTTACAACGGTATGACTTGCTTGAAGTGAATATATCTGCACTTTCCTTGTTCAGAGTTTGGACCTTTATGGTTTTTACACTTATTGTAATTCGCTTTGGATAAGAGGGGCAACCAAAGAAATGTAACGCAGTGTAATGTAATGAATACATGTGCGGTAGTGCAGACTGCGGTGTTTATTTTGGCACCTACTTTGTCATCATTTTTGTTGTCCATTTCAGTCAACAAAACGACAGTCAGTGACATTTGAGTATAATTTTCGGCTTGAATTTGATATGTTCAGGTTGTCTATCCATATTGAGGCTACAGCCATCATCATCTTTGTTGTGTACAGTAACTATGGATACATGTGTTGTTCTTGGAAAAATACACTGTTTACGCTCCTTATAACTGAAGTACTCAACTGAGAATCATCATGTCTTTAATTATGTTAATAGTATCTCATTTATCCTGTGATGTCTGTACATCCAGAAAGTGGGCTTCTGATCCTGTTTGTGATGCCAATTTGAAAAAAAATCACAAATCATGTTCCATGTAGTCAACTAGCATATCACCCATATGCAACCTGCACCCTTTAACAGATTTATTTTAGCCTTCGTAAAAACATCTTATTGAAAAATACTTCCGTGTGGATGTCCCACATGCTGAGGGACATGTGACAGGAACATTGGTTCTTCATTTGTTGAGCTTTTGTTATTTTTTCTCTCTCTTGATACCTAGGTGTCAGTGATCGATGGCTCCAGCCCCTTCGCCAGTGCGTATGATCTTGACAACATAATCAGGAGCTACCAGAATAGAAACTGTAAGTTGACTCTGCTTTTATTACTGATAAAACCCGGGATCAACCCAGGCTTTATCCCAAGCCGAACATTACCTTAGATGTGAATTAATGTAAAATGTGGATATTGTAAAATTGGACAACTCTGACTTTTCTCTGTGTCTTTTTGTCCCTTTTTGTCCTACACAGTGACCACAGTGCTGTCCTGTCCCATACCGATGTGGACGGTGGGACGAGCTGCTGGCTCTCCCTTTCAGATTAATGCAGAGATCCGATACCCTGTGGAGGTCATCAGATATCCTTTACTAAATGCAAGTGTTCTTTCTTAAATACCTCTATGCTTTCCACACTTACTTTAATCCTCCAATTGAACACTTAATAGACGCAACATGTAAGGGATAATGAAAACTGATCGAATAATATTACAAAATGAACCCCTTCAGAGTGATTCAAAACTCTTCTGGAAATAATTTGAGAATAAATATTGATTTTGGTTTTGTTAACTTTAAAAGTATTGTATCGCCTACTCAAGAGTGTGTGATCCAAACTGCATACATACATAGCAGCAGTTTGCTATACAGGTATAACAGACCACTGCAGTAATTGACCAATCAGAATCAAGTACGGTACTCAACAAAGCTTTGTATTATAGACATTAGTATATAGTTTATACCACATTATAATGTTGTAAACTCTAAATAGGATCTTTCAAGGGTGTTAATGTACAATATTTGCCCATTATTAGAACATATCATATGACAACATATTGATTATTATTACAAGTTTGTTTCATTATATTGTCATTCACTATCAGGTCTAGAGCAGCCTTATGGCTAAATGTGTTGGTTATAAATCATTTTAGCTATATTCTTCACATGTTATTTTTAAACACAATATTTAGATTACATAATATTTTGCAGTAACAGGAAATGTATCTGTAGAGAAGGTAATATTGATATTTTACCACACATTGCCCCAGCTATTCGTGAAAAAAAGTGAGAGAAACTCCAGCTGCACTGCAGAAACATCAATCATTTCTTTAATTAGCTTTTTCTACCAGATAATAAATGTATCTTTTGATAGAACACACTTTTTTTTCCTGGGAAGCACCTTATCTCCAAAAATGAACTTACTCCGACCTCTTGCTCTGGTATCTAGAGGTGTATACTTACGGGAAACACTGCATACAATCTGTATGGCGAATGCTTGTTTTGTTTAGGTGAACAGAACCACATAATCTGCAAGCTATTCATACATTTGGAGTTGTTCCTCACTCTCCTCAATGTTGTTGTTTTTCATTAAAACAGTGGTTAAAATGATAAAGCATGTTTGCTCTGTGAAGTCTTCCTCAGAGTTTCTTCCTTAACCTAGCGCCACCTATCGACCAGGCTTCTGGGAAACCATCAAGTTTGCCTGGATTCAGTACGTCAGTGTGCTCCTCATCTTTCTCTGGGTCTTTGAACGCATCCAGAGATTTGTTTTCCAGAACCAGGTTCTAACCACAGTCCCCATACCAGTGGGAAAACCTCACCAGTCATGATGCAGTGGTCGTCATTTGAAATACAAGAAGCACCAGGTTGCAATATTAGGTACACTATTAAATGTCTCACTATTTTTTTCCATCACTGATACTCTGCAACTTAAACGTAATACCAAGTGTTTTAGTGTAAGGGATTAGCCACTAGGTCTGTTTTGTAATTTCATAATACATAAACAACACATTTTTCCTTTGAACACTTTAAGATGTGTCCTTGTTATTCACCAAGTAATGGAGCATATGAACCTCCCAAGAGCTTGATGTAGTCCTTTCATAATTGTGGCAAAAAGTCCTTAACTTTTTCCTGGACATGTTTTTATGCAGCCGCTTCTCTACAGGAAGTACAGTAGCTCTTGCCATGGAAAATGCATTTCTTCTTTTGTGAGGTTCTTCGAAGCAATGAAAATGAATTGAAAATATTTATAGATTTTCTATATTTGTACTATTTTTATGTTGTGAAAATTTGTGACAGTAATATTTTGTTCATTTTTGTATTGTACAAAGCTTTAGATGATGATTAATAAACGTTTTTTCCGTCCAACGGCAATCATGATTGCGTTATGAACCAATGTGCTTTGTTCTTAAAAGTTGACCATTAAACTAAAATATACTATAAAATAACTAAATAAATAATAAATTATTATTAACAAACAAAATACAAGAACCTTGTAACCTTGGTTTATCCAGTTTAACAAGTCCTCCAACTCATACGACCAAATGGGCCGATTGTTCAAGCCCTTATTACGACCAAATGTGTTGTTTGTTCAAGCGCTTAATACGTCCTATT